CCCACCTCACTACTTGATCATCCAGACCACAATTCCTCATTTTGCCTATGAGGATGCTGTGGGAGATGGTGTCAAATGCCTTACTGAAATCCAGATAGACCACATTCACTGCATGGCCACCATCCATCCACCTGGTTATGTCTTCATAAAAGGCTATCAGGTTGGTCAAGCATGACTTCCCCTTAGCAAAGCCATGCTGACTGCTCCTAATAAATTTGCATTGAGAGGTATCTAGTGGCATAACTGTAACAATTTTAAGTCTACCTACTCTAACTGCCACCAAAGCAAAACTGAAAAGACAAAGGAGACATCAAAGTGAAGACTTCTGCATGTGTGAATATGAGGTAGCATAGCATCATCCAAAGACTGCTCTGAATTTATCTTCATTTGGAGGAAATTTTTACAACAGTATGTATTTGTTGGACTGTATTTCTTCTAAGAAAAATGATTTTTCTCTTTTTTTTTTTTAAAGAGGATATAATAAGTTCATGTATAAAATCAGCGAGTTTGGCAGTGTGCATCAAAGCAGGAGTCAATGGTTCTAGAATTTACTTTTAAAATCAGACAAGCATTGGTATATTTTTATTTCAGGACCAAAAGCAAAAATCTCTTGAAACCAAAACCTACTTTGGACAAAAGATAAAATCAACATGAATTAGAATCCTATCAGCAGCATTACAGCAATGAATTCTGATTTTGCAGCTAATTCCACAAATTGCATTAATCTGCACAGCATTCATAAAGATCTCTTTTTGTGTTACAACTAAGATACATGACTAAGATAATCCATAAAAGCGTTTAATGATTGCTTATGGGAAAATGCACTATGTGAGTAAATGCTCAACAGTATCAGTGTTCACACATTGCCAAGTTAGGCTATTAATTTGATCAATTACTCCTCTGCATTGGTTACCTCAAAGCTTCTTGTCAAATCGGTTTCCTTAGTCTGGGCTGCTAATAAAGCCTGCTCTGCTCTGCACAGCTTCTGGGCGAGATCACTGGTGTCGTGTTCCAAGCGTTGTTTTGCTGCCATTACCTGTAAGAATGTTAAAAATCAACATTGTATACACAGGCACTTGCTTCTTTTAAACTGCCATTCTTGAACTCCAACATTCCATTACAAAATCAAACTACACTATTTTATCTCACCTTGAACCTAAGGTGGGCTTTACTGTGATTTAGAAAACAGCTTCTTATTGCTTTTCCCCTCCCTTGCCTCTGACCAGAAAGATGGTACGTCTCTAAAATACATATATTTCTTTCTGAAATTGGATTAAAACATCCAATTTGCAGCTACATCACCACAATGGTATCTGTAGGATACAATGATATCTGTAGGGTACAAGTGAGGTTGGGAATGTAATAGCCTTTTTTGCTAAGCTATGAGAATGAGAAAGTTAGGATAAGTGCACTTATTGCTCCATTGACACAGATTTTATAAAAAGTGAAGAGGATTTAGCTCTTTCAAAACAGTCCTATAATGTTCCGGATTAAAAACAAAGGAAATGCCGTTATCAGGTCAAAAAAAAGAAAAAAAGAAAAAAATTTGTTCTGAGATCATTAGGTAATAAATCAGCTTTCTTGGAGAAAGAACTAAAAGGCACCTATTTTTCTCTCTATGAAATCAATCTTTTCAGTAAATGTATACAAAAGAATGTGCATATAAAGAAAGCTCCACTAAAAACATTTATCTGAATGTATTCCCATGGCTACATTACTAAAATAAAACAAGCCTGCAAAAAGCTGTTGTCAGTTTCAGAAATGCTGTTTCTGTTCAGCCTTGCTGCTAATGGGGCTTTTCAATACAACTTTCAAAAACCTGTGGCCCTTTTTAGAAATTCAGTTAGCTCTGACGCTTTATGGCTGCTGACAAGGGGTTTTTTGAGGCTTTTAAACATTCCACTTTTCTTGTCATCCACTCTTCAAAGCCTGTACTGCTTTCTAACTTCCTTAAAATTATGATTTTGTGACAACTAATATGTTCCAATAGCTAGTTGCTGACAAAACAGTGGAAGACCCCTTTCGTATTGATGTTCCTCTTTACACAAGCCCTGACATTCATCTGATTTTGTGGAAAAACAGCTCAGGGAGTTAAAAACTTCTTCTTGCCTTACTTCTTGGTATTCCTTTTCCTTTGCCTTTATTTTCTGTTGTAAAGACTGATGAGCGCCCTCAGCATTTTGCCTTTGGCAATTCAGTTCTTCTAACAATCTTTTGAATTTTTGCTTCAACATTTGAACCTATAATAATTTATTTATCAAAGTGTTAAAAATGTGAGTTACATTTAATTTAATTTTGTATGTATTCATATAAAAAGACTGATTTATTCTACTACAATTGTTCTAGCATTTACATAACTTACCGTGTAAGTTTAGCTAGTACCATATAAATTCTCAGCAATTAATAAAGAAAAAGAGAAAACTCTTCTTACTTGCAGTAAGAACTTACTTTGCAGTTTGAATTAAATTATTTTAAACACTGGCATTCTCTTCTTCACATGATTAGGAGCAAAAATCAGAATCACTTCACATTTTTATACGTATTTATTTAAATACACTCTCTAAATTCTTAACTCAGCAAATCATAGTATCCTATTGGGTTTTTACTATGAATCCAAACTCATTAGGATTAAGTCACGAAACCCCATTCAGAAACCATATACATTCTCAATCTTGCATGGCATTTTTACCTAATTTTATTTTACACAGGTAATTTGCAATCCAAAGACTATGAACCTCATAACATTCTGTAGTATAATCAACAGAGTGATTTTTGGCCAACATTGCACAACAGAGTCTATTTAAGATCAGAATTTGCCACCAGATGCCACTGTTGCTCTATGCAACTTAATCAGAAAACATTTTTCAGAATTCCAGTCAATCTTGCCTGAGGATGAAAAATATTTCTTCAGGTGGTATAAGAACCTTCCAGAAAATGGGAACTGCTTAGAAGTATTTAATCTAATCAAGAGGTGGCATCCCTGGTGGCAGGGAGGCTGGATTAAAATGATCTCTAAGGTCCCTTCCAGCCTAGGTCATTCTATGATTCTATGATTTTTACAGGAAATGCATGCCAAAATATAATATACTTCTCAAAACTTGATCCTCAGCAAATGCTCAAGAAACTTATCCAAGAACCTTAGTTGTTACTAGAACAGTTGAAAACTGTCACACATTTGTATCAGGAATGAATTATAAGGACAATCAGAAGACACGTGGTGCAACATTTCACCTGTGTGGTAGCTTGATCACGTTGTGTTCTCATTTGAGTCAGCTTATCTCTGGTTTTGTTCAGAACTTTATCCTTCTCTGTTAGTTCCAACTTCATTCTGTCCAGCTGCAGTTCAGTCTCTTGATGTTTATTCATGTAGGATTTCTTCACTTTTTCTTGAGCTTGCAGTTGTTTAGGTCTTTAACAGTGGAATTTAACTCTGAATTTTAAAAATAGAAAAGATTAGGGATACTTTCTGCTTTGAAAGGTACATCTTCCAGGTACTCAAATTTCCAAGTATCTACACATTCTAAAATATTTAGTATGTTTGATAACAATCCAGGCTCCTCACACTGGCAGACATGCTGTAAAATGTTCAGTAAGCTAAAACAAAAGTTTCAACACTCTCCTGCTACTACGTCAATGACTTAATCAAGACTGAAAGATGGTTGACTCTGTGGTAGATATTTCCTCCCCCCAGCTAAGCTGTTGCTAGGCAGATTTCAGGGAATCTGCGACCTGGGCTAGTCTATGGAACCTGAGCTGGTCAGGCCTCGGTTACACCCAGGAAGTTGGCCAGCAGCCAATGACAAGCCGAGATGGCTATGACTGACCACAGTCATCATTTACTAGTCTTAAAAGGGGGCTCTTGCAGCGGCCATGTTGGAGTTACCTCGTGGCAGTGGCTTGAGGAGGTCGTAAAGTCTCCCCCTTGGTCTAGGGGATCCCTAGGCAAGGTCGACCAGGTGAGAATGGGAACCCCCACCTGGTAAAGGTACCCCCTGGTAAAGTTAAAAGGGAGAACGGGAACCCCCCTTTTATGGTACCTTAGTGAGAAGAATCAAGACGAGAAAGGGAACCCCTGGCTTGATTGAAGTGAGTGTATGATAATCCAGATTATCATTCTTTTGTCAAGGGCTAGTGCGTGAGCTTGATTTTTTTTCTCAACCGATATCAAACCTTTAAATTAGGAGGAGCTTATATCCTGTAAATAAATTTAATTTAACTATACGCGTGAATTTATTTTTCGGATATGGGCGCGCTACTCACCTCCTTCTTTACAGACTCTAAATCAATAACTTCTACGTCATAATATAAGAGAACACAGCAAAACACGTGAGATCAAGAACAAATTATTCCTCTGCTGGTTTGTTTTTGTTTGATTGTAGTCTTTTGTTGTCATTTTTCAAACACTGGAAACATACCAGTTGACAGCTATTTTCATTTTCTTTTATTTTTAAAAGAAAGGATGTCAACTGCAAACATTTGGTTGGGGCAACTGTGAGCCTTTGCTTCCAAAATGCTTTTCAGCTATGGGCATCTGTAAATACAGTATTTTATATTTTAATATTTTTCCTGTCCCAAAGCGTACATAAAAAGCAAAACCAAGTCATACTGTCACAATATCTATCAGTAAGATTTTTACCTTCCAAATCACAATATAATTTCACAGTAGAAAACATTAGCCAACTACAGGGAATGTTATCCAGAGTTACTATTATCTGGTAACTCTTTTTGTTAAAAAAAGACTCAAACAAACCCTGTCTTGCAGATGCCGAATTCATATGACTTCCAAGCTGGAAATGCCACCTAGATTGAAGTTTTACATCAAAGTGTTTAAATAAAGTTTAGGGAGCACAGGAACTTGTAAAACAGTATTACAAGAAACAGTTAGTGGAAACTCTGGTCCAAAGAGTAGGGTTAAATAAATGTTCACCAAATTCACGGCAAGCCAAATATTTGCTCTCTTCCAACTATCATATACTAAGAACAGGTATTCTTTTTCATGTCAATTGTGCAATACAAGATCATATCTTGCTTTTTCATTGTGCTTTTTGCATCATACTCCATTCCGTGCTTCCAGTAACATCCATTTTGGACCAACGCAGTTATGCATTAAGCGTGTTCAATCAATGACTTTTTAACACAAGCATTATTCAGCCATAACTCTTAAGAATCATACAAAACTAAGGAAACAACATAACTGAATTAACAGTGAGATGTAATGAAATCCTCTGTTTTAAGAGACTTGTTCTGTGAGCAATGGAATTATCGGAGAAGGCCATTTCCCTGTCATATTACGTCCCGTACCCACTCCAGAAATACAAACCCCTCCCTTCCCTCACACTCCTTATAAAAAAAGATACAACAGCTCGTGGATAATCTCTGTGTACTGGCTGATCATTGAAAATACACACAGCAGCAGCCATCTGGGCCAGCTGCCAAAGGCAACAACAGGTATCTTTCTCTTTTCCTGGTAAAGCACTAATTTCAATACTTCTATACACACACACACACATCAGCTTTCATGAAATCATATAGGAGACTGCCTCTGGGTTTTAAAGAAATATATCAGATACCTTGGTTCTGTGCTCGTAGCTGGTTCACAAGTGAAGAATTAGAATTCTGAGCAAAGCTACTGTCAAACTCATTTTTCTCTGATGTTATACTAGAATTTGGGGGGTTTTCCCCATGGAAAAGAGGTTGTTGCAGAACTTCCCCTTGCAGGTATTTGATTTCTAGATTGTGTCTTTTCTTGTTGCCATGAAAACACAGATGAGGAAGCTTGATAATGAGCAATCTCCCTGTGACTCAAAGAGCTTTGACAATGAGGATGATTTATTTTCTGTGTCCAAGAAAAAAAAAGGGTCTACATTTACAGAGCTCTATATCCAACACATAATAATTAATTTATTAATAATAAGTGGATAATAAGTTATGGTTCTTTCACATTTTTATAACACCATGTCATCCACCTTTCAAACTACTGATTCATATGATTATTTTTATACTACATAAACTAAATAACTTTAGCCAAACACAAACCAGGATCTCAAAAAAAAAAAAAGTAGCTCAATCTGTGTGTCTTTGTTAGTAACATATCCAGATATTTGTCTTTTTCAAGAGACATCCCATCATTTACCTCCTACAGTTTTCAAAATCAAAGCCTACAATTTAGAGGCAAGTGCTGACACAAGTAAGCTGCAAGAAATACAGAAGTCTAACATATTTGGCATCTGACCCACATTTAGTTCTTCTGGACAAACACAGGTAAATTGAGAACCGTCTTGCGTATTTAAACTTATATACACAGAATATCTCTAAAATGCAATAAGAAATAAGCCAGGTACCAGCTTTCAGCCTCTTCCTACAAGAAAAAAAAAATTAAAAACAGAACCAAAAAACCAGGGTTTTTTTTCTCCTTAACTTAAAAATACAACCTCTCAAACGGTAAAGTCCCTATTGTATTTTTAACTGAATTTTCAAATTCTTCTCATTTGAATTATTTCTTTAAAATCAAAGTCATAAACCAGGTAATACTCAGTGTGATTCCTCAGTTCAACCAAAATGAACGGAATTTCCAAGGAATACTCAAGATGTGAGAGCCATCTGGCCATATGTGGGCAAAGACTATTTTCTCATTACCTCTTAATTCCTAAAAAATTCTTCTTCTTGCTGACTACAATATTGAATTTTTCAGAGAACTAGCCACAATAATTGCTGAATTACTTCCTGGAATCATGTCATTAAATCTGGAGCCTGACTGTACCAGGTATTCATTGTTCAGATGTTTTCCAGGTGCACTTTTTCACTTTTTTTTTTTTTTGCTCTGAATGTTACTTGATTATTGCAATTATTTAGTATTATAAAATACTATATGTCCTTCAACCAAATTATTAAATTATTTTTCAGATCACTAATGAATGGCATAGTTCACGTTACCAGTCCTTTTCAGGCTCCACTGTTGATCATTCCCCAGCTGTAAAAACCAACCATTTATTGCCACTACCCTCAATCTTCAAATTCACAAGAACTCCACCTTCTCAAAATTATTTTATTTTTTCAGTGTTTTGTGGATATCTGACATTATACTGAGTCATACTTAACACACATCCCCTGATTTATTATTTAAAAACCCCCAAAACTCTAAAAATGTGAGGCATGATTTCCCTTTACAAATAAAGCATACTCATGTATGCATATATATATATATACACATATGGTTTGGACTTTTAACAAGTTGCCTAAACCAAAAAGTTGGCCCGACTAAACATTTCCGGAAATCAGCACTGCAAGCTTATTTCAAAAATGGCACCATACTTGTCACCTTCCAGAGTCAAGGGAAGAATGAAACAAGTTGCAAAACACAGTGATTCAGCAGTCCCACATTGCAGCACCCTATTAATTCACAGGTAAATATTACCCATGTATGGTGATATTTTTAATTACTATTCCTGTTATAAATCCATTTTAAGACTACTTCTGATTTTTCAATTGGAGGCTGTGCGACAGATTCAACCTCAGTAAAGCAAGGGTTTAATGCAGAAAACACTTTAAGACTTCAAATAGTAAATAAAAAAAAAATTATTTCATCTTTTCTGCAGTGACCCTTTTTTCCTTGAGAACTTTCACATATTAGTCTTCTATTGGCCTCAGAGATTCCTTATTACAGTTCCTACTACTTATGTGTTTGAAAAATTTACTGGTTTTTATTTGCTAGGGGAGTTATTTCTCAATCTTTTCAAGGCTACTTTATTATGCTATCATATATAATTTGGCAAAAGTGACATTGTTTTCTCTCGTCCTTGCTTACACAAGACTTCTCATTTTTGAAGGATATGTTCTCCTTTTAATGTCCTTCTTACCTTTCCTATTCATTTATGCTCACTTTTACAGACTCTCCAAGATGACTTCTGAATGGCAGTACACACAGATTAAATCCTTTTTTTAAAAATTATCCTTTAAGTGATATAGAATATATTTCACTAGTTTTCAACTCCATTTTCTAAGTTCATTCAGCATTAACTTTCTTAGAAATAATGCTTAACATTCTCAAATGCAATGGGGTCACATCACGTCACGTCACAAAAAGGGCAGAGCAAACCTCCTGGAGACAGAAAAGAGGCCAGAGCAGCAGCTTCCCGCCCTTTAGTCCTGCTCTTCCCTCGGAGCACAGAGGCAGAGAGGCACTACAAAAACCAGCAAGAGCAGCTCTTCGGCTCCACCTGCATCCCCTACAACAGCCCTGTGACCACCTGTGGGACTCGCACAAAGAAACGATTGTCTCAGCCTGGCCAAGACGCCCGAAGCACCAGGCTGATCACAACAAACTGCTGCTCCAGGAATTCACCAGCTCTCTGCAGCAGCAGCACCCACTAACACCTGCCAGGCCTGCCCTGCCAGGCCTGGACCCGGCCTGGGACAGGCCCCCTTCGGCAACCTTCTGCCAGGGAATAGGGTGAAGCCTGGCAGCCACAGCGACACTTCAGCCGGGAACTGACACACTCTGACAAAGGAGTCTGGAGAACAGGGACTGCTCATGAGCATCCAGGTAATGAATGAAACAGCAAATCCTTTCTCAGGAAGAGAGCAGCCACCTGGCTGCCTGGTCTCAACCGGCATTGTAGGCACCAGCTCAGCCAGCTCAGCGTTTTGGAGCTAAAGGGGGAAAGTACACAGCGAGGAAGACTACAAGCCTTCATCCGGAAGACCCTGGCCCACAACCACCAGAGACCACTGGATGGCAGCGCGCATGCGGCAAGAGGAGGAGATTTTTCACTCCCGGTTCCCGGGAAAAGGTGGTGAAAAGGCGGGAACGATGGAAATAAAAGAAGTGCAGACCAGCACCTAGTCGCAATATTCTCCCACCAATGATGGACCTACGGGATGCCGCTTGACTCCCTGACGATATTGGCTTCTTCTTCTTCTTCTTCTTTTGCCTTTCTCTATCTTCCCCTGCCCCCCTCCCCACTTCCTCTGTTGTCCCCTCCACACACACACACACACTTTGTTTGACATGGAGTTGTTTGAAACTGTTTTAAGTGGCACCTCCCCAGGCCAGTGGGGCAATTCCTGATTTGTGACTTTTCTTTAGGCAAGGTGAAACTGTTATAAGGGTACCCCCCTGGGACGCGTATTGCCCAACTGTGGGTTGTTTGAACCATGACCAAACTGCTCGAAGCGTGACCTCTCGGCAAAGTATGCCCCAGATGCACCCTGAAATCGAGCACTTTTGTCGTTTGTTTTGCTTTGTGTGTCTGGTTTGTGTTGGCCTTTGGGTGTGGGTTCTGTTCGTTTGGTTTGTTGTCACTCACAGGGAAGGTTGCAACTGTAATTTGTCGGGAGCACTTTTGTTTCTGGAAACTTGCGGTGCCTGCCCGTTGATTCGTGGGCAACACTGAGACAGAAAAAATTGATACAGCTTGCAGAGCATAGTAGATCGTATCCTTGGCTTTGCAAAAGCAATCAAAGAAGAAGGCTGGAAAGGGAAAGCCGTTCCTTGTGCCGTTTAGGAGCTAGCCTGGCTGTTGCTGTGGAGGAGGGGGCAGGCAGGGGCGCTCAGCCGCAACGAGGGATTTATTCACTGCCCATTTTGATAGAGTGGCTTCAGGAACAACTCAGTGAGAGAACTTGAGCTTAGGATACAATGTTGCAGTTAATGTTGTGCTGGTGCAAAGCAAAAGGGAGTGAAGTGCCCTGTCTAGATCCTTTCTGCAGGAAGAAGGAGCAGCGGCCGCAGGGGGTGCAAGCGGGTGCGAATAGGGGACAGGCAGAACAAAGGACAGAGAGTCCTGGTGAAGGCAAAGTTTACAAGCCCTCTCAGACAGGCACTAGAAGGGTTTGGGACCAGCTTAGGTGAAGGGGCTGCTTTCGGTATCAAATTTAAAGGCTTGCCAAGATGTAGCAGGCGTATATACGGAAGACCCTGGATGGGAAGCGAAGGCTATGGAATGTCTGGAAGGCAGTATCTCGGTTCATTAGCATAGCGCATACAGTTTAAAGTAACAAGAAGGGAAGTGAGAAGGAAAAAAAAAACACAACCCAAACTGCAGCAACGCAGCTGCAATAAGCCCAGGTAACTAACAAAACCAGGGGACAGGGCTAAAAGAAAAGGAGGTCTGGCAAATCCCTTACCGTACTAGGGAGGACCAAAGGAATCTATTCTGGCAGAGCCTCTGGGTAAAGCCAACCTAAGAAACAAAGAAATTGCATTTCCAGCCCATATGGGGGCTACCTATTCTGTTTTGAATGCTTTCCCTTGTTGCAGCAACAAGGCACGAGAAATAGTCAAAAATGATGAAGGAAATTATTTGATTTGGTGTATCTTCAGCAATTTTATCAGACGATGAACCCCGACTGTGAAACAACTAAGTGAGGTGCTATCTGTAGCCTGGGCATATCATGCCTCCTACAGGCTGCACTCAAGCATTAAAGTAGAATGAATAAAGTGACTGAATATGAATATGAATAATATGAATATGAATAAAGGGACTGAATATGAAGATCGATGCGAACACTGACTCACTTGCAGAGATAAAAAAGAGAAAGCCATCACCCCAAAATTGTTATTGTTATTACTAAATTTGTATTAGTATTCTACAGATCTTTAACTTCAGGAGCCATTTAGGACAGCCTCCCTCCTGTTAGGACCTACAACCAGCATAACCTTGGACTGAATTAAGGTAAAACAACACCGGTCAAACAGTTTAGGAATTACTGACACACAACACAAAAACCAACATCAACTAACAAATGCCAACAACAATGTCCAAATGTTCTTTTTGTTTTGAACTCCAATGGCGGTGTCTTCCATTTTCTTGCAGTGCAGGCAATTCTTTGGTGTCGTCCATTTTCTTCAACACAGTCCTTTGATGTCGTACTTTTTCTTCGATGTGAGCAGTCCTCTCCTTGAAAGGGTTTTCTTCTCGCAGGTGTCCTTGCATCATCTTTCCCGACAGAGTTTTATGATTAAAACAGTGAACACGCCTAACTGTAACTCTACTAGCTGTTAACATGAACAGTCTTCACAATATTTGACTATAACATTCACAGCATTAACCATTGACATGGACAAAACTGAAACACATCCCCGGCCAGGTTTACACACGTGTTTCTAACACTGCGGGGTTAGGATCAGAAGAAGGTTGTGGCCTGCCAAAACAACACAAACAAGATCGCCTCCTACAAAAATCCCCAAAATCATTGTGACAACGCCACAGTAAACAAACAAGAACAACCAATGCAAACGAAGTTGCTGTGGTCAAAGCGACACAAACATAACTATCTACCATCTCGGTGTCCATCTTAGGCTTTTTCTCCAGTGGCAGGCTGGTCATAGTGGATGTTGCTTTGCCACAGGAGTGAGGGTCTGTTTATGCAGCAAGAAAATAGGATTCCACACCCCCAACACAAAGCACGTGTGCAGTTTGGGCCTGACTCCTGCCTTATGGTTTTGTAAATTATCAGTAATATTGGGCTCTGTCAATTGATTAAACATAGCCTCACAAGGAGGAGTTTATACAGTCATCAATACTAGTTGCTGCGTGTCTAGAGACCCAAAATGGAAACCCTCTTGTAACGCTGAAGTGTGTGGCAATTAAAACTCACTCCAACCAGTTCGGGGCCGGATGGTGAAGAGGAGCTGAACCATCCGCAATTACCCACAGTACGCATACGCAAGGGAGAATTCAGGCAGGGCAAGCCAAGAAGATGATCGTCAAGAAGTCTTGCAGACCACCAATGTATATGGTAGCGCATGCACACGAGGGTGTACACTGTGTGGGAAATTTGGGGGAAATAATGTGAGTATGTATGTATTACAATAATGTAAGCTTTACTTACTCTAGATAATGATATAGATGCCAGGAGGAATTATTCCCACTCCCTCCACGTCCACTGCTACAATAAAGAATGCCTGTTCTCTAAAACTCCAAAACTGAGTCTTAGAACGCTCCTTTGACCGATATTTTCGGTATCATTTTGGCACCCTAGATGAGAAAATGCTCCTGAACCTCGATGGATCCATGGGATCGCGGGACCTCCAGCCAGCACCGAGGGATTCTCAGGGAGAACCTCCGCTCCTCGGACCAAAGAGCTCAGAGCAAGCCCACCCATAAGTCTAAAGGCATTCTTTTAAATTTTCTAGTCTGGTCACCTGACCGTAAGATGCAGCACAAGCTATGCAAAGTTAGGCTAAAAAGGTACCTATTCTAGTTCTAGTCTATTCTGATAAGCCCAGGTTATATATTCTGTGCAATATCTCATTCTAGTCTGATTGAATTTATTCTGATTGAGTTAGCGATTCTAATCCCTGATGTCTTGTTATGTCACACTTTTGTGTGTTGGGGGGGGGTTTATGTTGCTTCTGTGTTGTTACTTTTGTTGTTTCGTGTTGCCCTCGTGCTGAAGTGTGGTGGAAGATTCCTTTCCTTTCAAGCCAGAAGAGGATAACAACAGAGTTATAATCTTCAGTAACCACATTTTGTTCTATGTACTATGTAGATTGGCTACAATGTACTACTCCATGTCTAACTCAACTGATCCAACATGTGGTGACAAATATGCAATCTGTAACCACCGTGTCTTCAGGTGGAACGAAACAGGTAAGAGTAACATCCTCTTTCCTCCCTATTCCCTTTTCTCCCTCTCTCGCTCTCTCATCTCTCTCTGTCATCTTGCTTCTAACTTCTGCTGCCACGGAGCAATGCTGAGCCAGGGGGTGGAACGTGGGACTCAAAGAAAGAGAGGGTTGTCTCGACATTGCAAAGACGCCTAGTTCAGAACCACCAGGCTTATCACAACAAACTGCTGCTGTAGGAATTAACCAACTTTCTGCATTTCTCAACATTTTTGAGCTAAAGGGGAAAAGTACACAGCGAGGAAGAGTACAAGCCTTTCTCCAGAAGACCCCGGCCCACGACCACCAGAGACCACCAGAGGGCAGCGCGCAGGCGGCAAGAGGAGGAGATTTATCACACCTAGTTCCCGTGAAAAGGTGGAGAAAATGTGGGGACAATGGGAACAAAAGAAGTGCACACCAGCACCTAATCGGAATACTCCCCCACCAATGGTGGACCTGCAGGACGATGCTGGACTCCGTGGTGGTATTGGTTTCTTCTTCCTCTTTTGTCTTTCTCTTTCTCCCCCTATCCTTTCCCCCTGCCCCCTCTCTACACTTGAAGAATAAATACTCAAAAGAAAACACAACATTGACCTCGTCTATGTCTTAATTTCACCTCTGGAATCATTGTAGCTCGACTGAGTCCAGTTTGGAACAAGACACCAGGTAGGAAATTAAAGTCTATTTTTTTCTAGTATATAGATAGACAAGAAAAATTCGTCTTAATGACTTACCTAGGTCAGTACTTCATCAAATCCAGTATCAATAACACTTCTGCTGAGGATGACATACTTTAATTTGACACATGGAAGCTCTGCAGTGGCAGTGAATGCAAAAAAAGTTAATGAGGGTGGCGAGATACTCTCACGGCCAAACTCTGTGGATAAAGGGTCAGCAGGGATTCACACGGCCAGATCAGAATCAAATACAATTTACTGAAACAACAGATATGCAAATTTGTTTTGATTGTCAGTGATATTGTCTGCAAAGCATGTGCAAAAGTTACAGATGTATTAGATGACGACCAGCTCTGTAAAGATTTCTTAAGCATCCAGGGGCAGCACTTGGTGAGGCTGAGTGTTCAGACATTAGCCAAAGGTGTCCCGAGCAGGTGGAAGCGAGGCTTGGCCCATCGTGCGATCCTGAGAGTCAGAGGCGGTCCGTGGTGGTGTCTCCCCTGATGATGGTGGCATCTTCCCTAACATCAACCCCCCCTCTCTTGGGCTATTTTTACATTGTTTGTGTAAACTTCCCTTGCTTCACGTTTAAAAATATAGACTCAAAAAATGGAATTTTTAAACTTTGAACCTATCGTGCTATTAATTACACACTCTCATAATAAGCTACTTATTAGGGACTAGGCAACTCAGTACAAGCGTAATGTTCAATATATTGCTCCGCCTTTCAAGAAAACTGACAGTTAATTACCTGTGCTAGATGAATTAAAAAATCATTTACCATTATGACTTTGAGCTGGTGTTAAAGGAACAGTAGAATTTTTTTGTGGAGTGCCACTGAATGATAAGTCTCCTGCAATCAATGTTTGCTGACTTCTCTCAAGCTCAGATTTGTATCTGTTGAGGAAAAAAAGCAGCAGCAGAAATTAATATGGAAACTAAAAGTTATTGAACTATTTTTTAAGAGCTTGAAATACACAAATCAATTACATGGTTCCAAGAACTTAGTTTAAAGGTCAAGTCAAGATACATTCACTGAAAAATCTTAGGTATTTTGATACAGAAACGTGAATAACATATTTTATTTAGAGTTTCAACATATCTAATCAATGACACGAGTCAAAGTTAAGAAACAAAACCAAACAAACCCAAAGAAATGAAAATCAGTTAGAAGTGCTTAAGATCTCAACTTATGAAGCTGTAGGCCAGCTGAAAACACACAAATCACTTCAAATACTGACAATATAAAACTCCTAGCCTTCAGTAAGTACCTTTATGGTAGGAAACACACTTTCATATTCTGATACTGCTCACTTTGAGAAACCTATCCCTACTTCAAGAAAACGGAAGGGAGTATCCTCCACCCAAGAGCATATTTTTTGTGTACCATTTACCTTGCTACCCAGAACACCATAGCCTACTACCCACTCCAGTGGCTTCTGTGAGCATGAAGAGTTAAAATCTCAGTTAATGAAGTGAGGTAGCTAGTTTGGAGGTTATACAGCAACTTCCATCCTGGCCAGTAAATACAGCTTGATATAACAGTCCCAGGCTGCAGCCCATCACATTAGTGACTCCAGAACTTGCCTTTCCGTTTCCCCCTACCTTTCACTACGCAATACCAAGAACTCCTCTCTCAGTGAACTGTCAGTTGATATGAAGTGGTAAATGGTTGGTTATCAGCAAACCAAAACAGAATCAAACACAAAACCAAAAGAGATAATCAAGATCAAACAACATGCAGTAGCCAATGGTATTTTGTAGGGGACAGCTATGCAAAGTAATACAGTGGAAAGAATTCAATAAACTGAACTTCATTTTGTGAATGGTTAAGTGGAACACACAGCCTTAACCTCTCTGACCCAACATTTGATAGCAGATACAGAAAATATGAGTGTGGTTCTATCAACCCTGATGAATTTCACTAGAGTCTGCTCTGACAGATCTCAGCAACTCCTTACACAAAACTGGTGTATCTCCATGGCATAAATCATTTTGCTGAAATTTAGAATCTTCCCACAGCAGTTAAATACTTAGTTTTCCCAAAGAGAGGAAGGTAAAGGGAAAAAACAAATAAAAAATAAATAAAAAACCCCAGGAAGACCAACATAGCTTCCTTTTTATTTGATTCTATTGGGATAAGCATGAAGCGTACCACAGAGATGTTAAAGGAAGTAGACATACTTCAGGCCATGGCAAAAAAAAACACATATAAAGAAAAAAAAAACGGTTTGTATTGTTGGCTTGTTTTTTTAAGAAACCTGTTATTATAGATTCACCCATATTTGACAGTAATTCCACATTACTGCTAAAACAGCTTATTGCATAAGCAAGATGCTCAGCCTTATTTGTGTACACAAACTTTCAAGAATACTTTTATTCAAGAATGGACGGTGCCTCTAGTACGAGGGCAAGTTTAACAAAACACTCCCTTCACTGCAGGCAACTGTTTCATTTGCATAGCCCCCTCAGACGTAGGATTTTAGATGTTTGCATTACGGAAGCTTCTTTCATTGTACGAATTGCATTCAACCTCTACATACAGCATACACACACTATCTCCGAAATAATGGCGTTTACAAGTTGAGGTGTTACGAATTAGGCACTTCTTTTTACCAAAGCAACTAGATTCAGTGACTTAGTCACAGAACTATGGCTTTCAACAGGTTTCTCTTCCACTCTATTAGATGTTCGTGCCTCCTTCTTCCAGCAGTCATGTTTTATCAGTAGACTTGATCTTACAGACTGACTTGTCCATGCAATTTCCTTGCAAACTCTTTTCAGGTTACTTTTGCCAAGGGTCTCAGTTGTGGTAGCTTTTTTTTTTTTTTCAAAAGTCACAGAACGAATAGCTCTCCTTCCACATGACATCAAGGAATTTTCCTAAATTAAATAGGAGCTTTTTTTCAAAAGTCACAGAACGAATAGCTCCCCTTCCACATGACATCAAGGAATTTTCCCAAATTAAATAGGAACCGTATGTGCTAACTGCTTCAAGGGGCCCACAGATTTGTGTAGAAGTCCATATGTCCATGTGCATATGTAAAAACGGTAAAATGTTTTGAGATTTTGGTCACAAAATCTGAATGAAATATAAGATGAAGAGAAACTAAGAGACCATGAAGGACTCATTAAATGAGCAAAACATGAGAAAATATCTGCTGTTCATGGGGTAGAGGCATACAAGTCCTCACCTTTTCAGTTCTTGTTCTAGCCTTTTGATGTCTTTCTTGCTGGAATTCAGCTGCCATGACTGAATGTTAGCTTGAGATTCTTTTACTCGAAGATCATGTGAAATTTTCTGCTTTGCTTTCTCAAGATTATCACACAATTCTATCAAGCTCTGGTTTTCTCTTTTTAGTGTTGCAGCTTCATTTTTTTCATTTTCAATCTACATGGAATATAGAGCATTTAAAAAATGTCTCCAGTCCTTTCTTTTGTGCGATCGTTATTTCAATAACACAAAGTTCACATGATGTTATTTTCTTCCTAGTATGTAAAAAAAACCAACCCAAACTTACTAAGGTTGTCTCTGAGGTGTATTCGAATACTACAAAACAGGACTCTGACCAAGAGAGTCTCTGGTTTCCTGACTAGAGGGCTGATATGGTACAGTCAGATGAGGTGTATAATTACAGCCGTAAAAAAAAAAAATCCCAAAATAGAGTCTCCACAAGGAAAAAACCATAGAATTACATAAGTTAATTAGAAGACAAAAGGTATTGGCAGGCCAGGTGAAACAGTAAGAGGCTGTCAGTTGTGTAGCTCTATTATATAAAACAGGCCTAGCCATTGTTATTATACCTGTTAAAAGTCTTGATAGTTTATTTCCCTAATCACAGAGAGATGTATGAAAGTCTGGAAGTAAACATATATCTGGAGATGGGCAGATGTGGATAAGAGGTAGGAATTCTATTAAAAGTCAATGTGAGCTAAACAGAAGAGAGATTATGAGGAGGATGAAGTAAGATAAAGACAAGCAGATGAAAATAAGCAGTCAGTGGGAGGAAACGAAACCCTAACTCACCCCATAACAGTTGTGTGTGGCACAGCGAATGGCATTTTAGGGAAATGACCACAGTACCTACATTACCTTCTGTTTCTGGAAAGCTGCCTCCAAAGACTCTAACTGGAATTGACTTTGCTGACGCTCCTCTTTAAGCTTGTCTACTTGACTTTCCAGCTCCTGAATCTTCTGAAGGACTCTGGGGGAGAGCCCTTCTTTCCATTCCTCCACAGCCCAGCTCATATTGACAGGATTCTTGTTTAACACAGAATGGATAATACTATGTCTGAAACACAAAGACAACTACAATTACATCTTGAAATATGTTAAATAAGCTTTCCTTTTAAATAAACTGCATTTTTAAGCTTAACAGTGAGTAGAACACAGTATTTCACAACAGTGCAGACTCCCCATTCTGTATACCAAGCAGCAACTTTTAATATTAGGTCCTATTTTGTCACACTTCCATCCAGCTGAGATTTTAAAACTTATCAATTTCTTAACAACAACAGGACTTATATTCCTATAATTGCGTTTGACCGCTGTATTTCAGAAAGTTTCTCTCCGGATCTTATTTTCATGTTCACATTGCAGAATGCCATTATCAATTACAGCTGCGTTATTTCTGCGGCTTTTCAACCAAAAGCCTTGTGAAAACCCACAGCTTTGTCTTAGGTAGCAGTTATGCTTCTTTACAGACGTTTTCCAAACCAATACGGCTGAGCTCAAGGCACTGAGAGTGCTCTCTGCTGGCAGGAACAGCTGTACGACACTTCGCCTGTAAAAACAAGTTTGACAAGCTCATGCGATTTTATTTTTTGTAACGACTCCTCCTTTAGAGGCTGTAGCTTGGGCTTGTTTTCTCGAGACAACCGGACGGCTCAGAGATAATTTTTGAGAGGGGAATTACCTCAAAATAACCACAACCAGGGGGCAGTGAAGGACAGATGGAGATCGCACAAGACTGGGGGGTCCCGGGGCCATCACGAATCTCACTGGGCCTGACCCTGGGCTCGGGGACCGGCTCCCCCGCTTTGCCGCCTGCCCGAGGGACACGGAGGACACCGGGCCGAAGGCGGACACCGGGCTGAAGGCAGACACCTCCCTCCGCACCCCACAGCCCTCGGGGGAAAGCCGGGGCCCTGCTAACGGCGCTTGCTGGCAACATAACCGTGGCACCGGGCGGCATC